TTATTATTATGACTGTAGTATAATTATTGGTAACTTACAGTTTATTATTTTGTGGTCCAGTAACTTTAAAGTGTGTTGCTGTTGTGCTAACTTTTCAAAATGCTTTAGTTTTAATATTATTTTTAGTTCAGTTATGTACAGTAAAATTAGAGGATGAATCTTTCCTGATAAAAACAGTATAATATTTATGGTATGTTGTAGCTTAAAGTGCTTCAATATTACTGTCCCACAGTATAAATATTGAACTCTTATCATATCTAGTCTGTTTAAACTCAACCATACATACTTTACAGTATATATACATTATGTCATGCTTTTTATAATTCTGCCCATTATTCAATGATGTCGTTGCACTACTGACAAAGGAATTACTAAGTCACATGAATTCTCCTACACAAATTGTTTGGATTACACATCATCATGTTTGTATTATATAACACACATACACTGATACTGTAAGATTAATATCTAGATTTATATACAAAAATACAAGTTATAGTAAAGTGGTATACCAGCACCTCTAAGGGGTATGTACAATCTTTAATTTGCTTCATTTCCTGTAGTCACTATTTTGTTTAGAGCTCGAGTATTGTTTACATGCATGGGTTAAAAAGTATAGGGTAACAAAGTAGATCAGAAAAAACATCAAATGCAACAATGTATACATGATTCACTATAAATCAGAAAAAGATAGAGAGATATATAACATCCGATGTGAGTCATGTCACTCCAAGCATGGGCCTGAAGTGAACAGTGATGCTGCTCTCGAGGCCCATGCAGCATTTGCTTATGGTTTGAAATTTAGAGGCTGAATGGAGTGAACCTGCAAACATGTACTGTTGCAGTTACACATGCACCTTTGCCACAATTGTGAACTATAATAACTACACACGCACTGCAAGAGTTGAAATCTGAATTAAGATGGATTTTAGTCTCAATATGTCCTGATATGGATGGATCTTATCAAAATCAGTAGCTGATGCTACTTCACTTGTAGATCTAGTACATCATGGATACATGTATTAACAGCTGTGAACAGTGGGTCAAAGGAAAAGGACGGTGGGTCTTGATCAGCACTTAAAACAGTTTTGGGATTCGGCAGTCTGAATAATGGATTTTTGGCATTCAGTCACAATACAATAATGAAATAAGGCATGACACAATTATAGGCTAATTATGATATCTAGTTCAGGCCAGAGCACTGATCAGCAATGATACCTGTCAGGACTGTAACAGTACTGATATCAGACTTAATCCATTAATTTTTGGCAACAATAATGCTGATTCAGGCAATAAAACTCTCTAAGTAGATCTAGAATGTAGATTGGGCGTGGTGCCAGGACATAGTAAATCGAAACCATAGATAATAGAGTAAATGAAAGGGATTGGAAACTACCGTTCCCGCCCGGCGATGCGGTTTTCGTCACCCCTGGTTACCTGGTTGGCAACGTCCGTGTTTATTTGCATTCCCCATCTCCTCCACAGTAGTTGTTGTGCGGAAAGGATCTCGAAGGAATATTGTGCGACTATTAGATAGCGCTTGCTTATGATTTATCTTCTGTTCCACATAGAAAGTTTATGGGGACACAAAGTCGGCATCTTTTTTACACTTCTTCGCCTCTACAGCCTTCATGCTTTTGCTATTCTAGCAGTACCTCATATCATTCCATAGGTAATTGAAAGTTCCTTTATATTCTGACAAGCTTTTTAGAGTTTAGCTACAAATGTCTTCATTAGAGGGAGAAAACAGCAATTTTATGGGCAAAAGCGCTATAACACTCAAAGTATTAATTTAAATATACCAAATAAATAATAATTAAAAGTGCAAAACATTGAACTCCTTGATAGTTGAGTTTCTTTTTCATCAGAGCACTCTTCTTGGAGATATTCTAATTTTAATGGAAAAAATCACGAATTTTGTGGTCAAAAAGTAACAAACCGCCTAGTCAGCAATTTTTTTGCTTAGCAACAATACAATCAAATGACATTATTGCTACGCCCACGCGGAAGTTTCCAATCCGTTTCATTTACTCTAATTAGTCTCGCGTAGCCAGCCCCTCCCTCAACGGGAGGGTCTGGTCGAATGAGTGTACATCATTCGTTCTCCGTGATTAATTAAATTAGTCCGTATTATGTTTGTTCACCACCGCATACTTTATGCAACACGTGGTTAAATATCTGCTATCTGTTGTTGGCGAGGCTGTTGGAGAGAGCAGGCTACAATTTTTGTCTGGATGGCTAAACAGCTTCTCTTCTGCTTCTTTTCTCTGCGTTAGTGCCAGAGTTTTTAGCTTGAATAAGAGCATCTCATGTACCACGAGGATTAAGGTAACGCCTACTACAACCACATCCGGTTCACCCTGTTTTGGGGTGAAGTAGAACGAACGATCTACACTCATTCGACCAGACCCTCCCGTTGAGGGAGGGGCTGGCTACGCGAGACTAACTCTAATATCTATGTCGAAACTGATTTTTCAGCAATAACGATGCTGTCACTTGCAAGTCAGTAGACGAAGGCTAATTTCCAACATACAGCATAGAGATGTTTCCAAGAGTGTTCCTCAATGTTTTGATTGTGACTTCGATCTTCATCTACACTGTTTGCTCGGCCTCAGGTGAGTACAATGTTGTGTGTATGTGCATATAGCTTTAAAGGGGCGTGATAGGTCAAGTTTTCAGCATTTTGAAAAGAGCAAAGGCTGGCTTACCCCATAGTTTTTACCGAAAATTGGCTCTTAAATCACACCACATTTGTATTACATTTTCTGATACCATAGATTCTGAACATAATTATCGATGTCCTTTTCCTATGTAAAAATTTTGAGCTGATTCCGACTAAATTTTTTAAAGTTATGACCATTTTTAAAAATTAGCAAATTTTTGAAAAAGAGCAAAGGCTACAGCTGTTGTTTGTTTGGCCATTAGATCTCTGCATGGGCTCACTCCGCTAGCTCAAAATATATTTGACTCGTCTGACTTTTGTAGAGCCACGTCAAAAGCTCAACTTAACTACTGTGCATATATTAGACTTAATTTATCCTATTCCACTTTTATTTCTTACTTTCCTCCTCTTTCTAACTCAAAGTAAATTTTTGTTCTCTACTTTTGCTGGTTTTCTAAGGCTATAGCCTATAATTTTTTCCAAAAATTTCTCCAAAATCACCCCCCCCCATTTTTATTACATTTTTTGATTCATATTGACATCCTTATGCTATGTGAAAAGTTTGAGGTGATTCCGATTAAATTTTTGGAGTTATTTAACTTAGCAAATTTTCTGAAAAAAGTAAAGGCTATTATATATAGTGCATGGTTTTTCCAAAAATGGCTTTTAAATTACTCCTTTCCCCCCCAATTTTTATTATATTTTCTGATATATATTGATGCTTTAGACCTATTAATTCAGATGCCATGCACACAGCCATGCATGTTGTTTTTATATTAATCATGCACACAAGTGACAAGATCTATAATTTTGACACCAGTAACTATGTTAAAATTAAGACATTTTCATTAGTCTCATCAAAGCAACGGTCACTTCAGTGTATAAACCCTATAAAAATAAATAATCCCCTGGTCTGTATACATAGTACCATTATCGTAATGCATACATGTATAATAGTCACTGATATTCAAAAGCGTAGGCTTTAAACTGACCTATGTATGTTTCCTTTTAAGGCTTTTGTGTTTAGTTGCTAATGGGGGTTGCAATTCCAAATAATTGATTGCTTTTATTTTCAACATTACAGTCATACAGTTATATGTCATGTATAATTCTGTGCCAAATCATTAGTCAAGTTCTGTTTCTTTGTAGTCACTTTATTGCTATCAGAGTAAATGTGGAGTATAATACTGTGTATAAATAGCAACATTTTTATAGCTCAAAATTTTTACAAATTCACCCAAAATCAGTTTTTAGCCTTTGTTTTACTTGAATATTGTTTTAAATTATTTTCAAAAACCCCAACATTTGAAAAATTTTGGGTCATAGGCAGACATTGCACGTGTATACACTATGCACGAGTATTTAGATGAAAAACAGGTCTTCCAGTACATACAAGTATATACATGAACCAAAAACAAGCAGAGGAGACAATTTTCATGTAGTTCTATTAACTATTAATAATTAATTAAAGGGTGTGTCTACATATATAAGCAGTCAAAATGGCAGTTACTTGCTTAACCTTGGATCTTTCAAGGTCTTTTTAGTCCTTCTAGCAATAGCAGATGATGAAAAAAGCAATAAGAAAGGTGATGACGACATTAGCCTTTCAATGATTCAGCATACATGTGTAGTACAGGATACATAAAAAGTAAATGACAAAATCACCAAAATATAGATGAATTTGTGACGCAATAAGTAAATGTACATACATGAAAATTTGCCAATGAATACAAGTACATACACGACCTGTTTTTTTCAAAATATAAGTAAATATAAGTACACGATAATTCCAGTAGGCGTGCAATGTCTGGCAGTAGGAACATGAATTTCTAGCAAAACATTAATCTGCAAATATGTTTAATTTTGTTGCTGTTTGAATTATTTTACATTTTATACTACAAAAAATTATGTACTTGTAGAAAATATGGTTGGCTATTAAATTATTTGAACATATTTATTGTCATTTGTATATTGTCATTTATAGATGAAGGAAACCGACTGTGGGATGTTAAGTTAGATCCACTACAGTTAAATTATGACTATGAAGGCTGGATAACAGTTTGTTTTGATGGTATAAACCTTGATGTAGCTAATGTTGTATGTCGGCAAAAAGGATTCACTAATGCTACTAATATTGAAATAAGTGACTCGTAAGTTAATTCATAATTTCATTTCAAATAATGGCACATAGTCTATCTGTTCTTAGTCCATCAGCGTCTGGTCTTCTTGTAATCGCTCAAGTTTTATGTCCATCAACTTCAAATTACTTTTTATACGGTGAAACCAATATTATGCGTTGTAATGTTGCTAATCCTATTATAATGGACCTGCCAACATGTTCACCTGCAAAAATTGTCTGTAGTAAGTTCTCATGAGAATGAGTGATAATAAGTTTTAATGTACATTTTTGGACTCGCCACGCTTGCGTAGGCGGGTACTAAGCAGTTGGGTTGTCATTCTGTCATTCTGTCCACACACTTTAATTGATTTGTAAAAAAATTATCTTTTTTTCTGAGCAGTCTAGAGCTCTATTTCTTCTTCTAGCAACAGATAAAGTTGCTTTCTTTCATGTAGTTATGCTCTTGTAGCATCCCGTGGCACCAAAAGCTGTGAACTGCTAAACCAGGGGACCTCTCTCCAGGTGAGAGCTCGTGTTTCATTCTACAGGGCCGAGATTTGCTTCAGAGGTAGAAAATCCCATCTAACGAAAAACAAAAAGAACGATTTTGTCCTAACTTCGTTGTTTGTGAGTTACAGTTGCTCAAAGTTTGTGATTTAGCCTCTTTGAGAATTTTTCAGGCGGCACTGGGGAAAGCAGAAGCAACCAAACTCTCTCAGTCTCTTTTAAATAACTAGAAAAATTTTCTGTGCCAACTCTTTCTTGGAATAGAGTTTCAGATGCTAAAATAAATTTCAGCTTTTCTTCTGTCTCCTACCCATGTGCCATGATTAGTTAGTTGTTGACCACACCCATAGCTATTTTAATTATCATTATAACTCTGCAGTCAATAATAATAATTTTTTTC